AATCTTTCATTTAACAGTACCAGATAGAGGAAAGTTTGCCCCACCCTTGACCTCCCACAGTGAGATATTTAAGGGTTTTTATGTCACCCTACAGCATCTGAATGAGATAATTCTCCGAAACTTGACTGCAGGACCCATTTTTGTTTAATTCACAGCCAATTCTTGGTAGATTTACTTAAGTGTTTTGGATCATTGTCATGCTGCAGGGTCCAATTTGATTTTAGCCCTAAACCATCTTGTGTACAGATGGTCTCTTGTCTCCTATTTTCCTCAGGCGCCCTCTACACGATACAGTCATGTTGGAGTTTGATATTAAACTGCACAGGTCATAAAGCAGACACCAAATCCTTACGGTTCCACCACTATGCTCTGAAGATTTAATAAGGATGTAGTCTAGAAGTGCTGGATTTGTTTTACTCAAACCATATTCTTCGTACTTGGCAGCAGAATAATATATTTTAAATAATATTTAAAAGTCCTGGTTCTCTATGGCAAAGTTTGGCATGCATCCTGACACAAAGAGTAGCAAGAGTTTGTTGTGGGTCCCTTAATGATATTTTAGAGGCTCTAAACACTTATTTTAATTGCTTGGACCTCCAGACCTGAACATGTTGACAGTTCTTCAGAAGGTCCTCTACATTTAGAGTTTTTGCTTTTCAGAGCGGTGATTTATTTCAGATTTTTTAAGGTATCTTTAGATCTCTGATCAGACTCACAGCATGCTGCATATTCTTTCAGGTGACCTCATGCAGCTCTCTCCCTTTTACTATAGTGTTATTTTCATTTGAACAGTCAGAAGCATAGAAAACGTAAGGTTTAAATAAAACAGCCCTCTTTTTAAAAAAGCTAAGTAGCTATGTTCTAATCATGTGCTACTGATTCAATAGATTTATATTTCATTTAGACAGTTTAGCTATAAATAAATGTGACTTGTTTACTGATTTATTCCTATTATGTTCATTTCATTTTACAAAACATTTTAGAAAACCTTTCTTTGTGTATTGCTGGATTTTAATAGTTTATTTTACCAAATATTTGGGAAAATCAAACATGCTGTCTTTGAATGCCCTTTGTTTTGCACAGGACTGTGGTTAAAATTTTCAATGTGCTAGAAATATATATATTATTGAAAATATATATATTATTATTAAAATTATTAAATTTCACACAGTATATTAAGTTTAGCCAAAACCCAACTTGGTACAAAGCACTCATACAAGTAGACCCAATTACACATTCAATGGAGCACTAGCTTTGTTTGGAGCAAAATGGTAATAAAAAAATGCAACAATTTTTAGACATAATCCAAACTTAAAGGAATAACATGCGTCAACTATTCTATAATTCAATAAACCAACTTATGTAAAGATCTTAACACATATTGCTCTTAATAAAACAGGAGGCATAACCTCAGACAAATATAGAAACACTGTCAACCACCTTCTGAGTCAGAGGCGAATCTCCCATATGCTTCATTAATCCAAACTCAAGCTTACATAACCGCACTAAATGCTCACAGCAGTGGAATGGTGCACGACTTTCCCTAAATCTTGTGCATGATTCTGTGCCTGCTTGCATCTGTCTGAATGTGCACACCTTTAAGATGTGACAGACAAAGAGAAAATCTTGTAACATGAATGTCTGCAGAGTTGCTCAGTTTGTAATCTGCCTGCATTTGTTGGCTTTGTCTGTGCTACATGTCAGATGGAGAAAAACCATCTCCCTTAAGGATGGTTTTCTGAGTGCAGATTTGTTGTGTAGGTGTATGCATGTGCATGTTTCCTGTTACTGCTGTTCAAACAGACAGACATGGTTGGATATCAGTTGTCAAGTCTGTGCTCATCTCTATTCCACAAGAACAATCACAGGGTTTTTAATCCTAAAAATAATGAACTGCTGAGCCCATTCAACACATGAAACATATATAAGCAGTTATATCTGTGCAAAATTAAGTCTAGCATAACCTCTGGTTCATGCAGTGATTGCAGCTGCAGCTTTGCAAGTGCAGGGTTGAGATCCTCTACGTCTCTTCTCCTTTTTATACTGAAAATCATTGTAAATGTACATTCTCAGTGACATTAAAATGCTTCAGCAAACAGAGGCATTTCGTTTTGTGCTTCGGGGACAATGTGCACAGACCATCTGCAGCTGACTGCAACGTGGGAATTTCAAAGAGCATATGGCAGCTTGTGACTGGGAAACAGTTTGTATCAGGAAAGCAAAAGAAGTACGGTATACCTTGATGACACAATAACCCTCTGTTATCTCACTATGAACAAAGACACATGCTCGGGTACCCCTGTAAATTACAAATTCTGGGACGATATTGAGGGAAAAAAAGGCTTCATGAAATGGCCATTTTTGTAATCAAGCATGCTGAGGGACGAAAAAATAAGTAAATAATGGGTCCAGTTAAAGCTCCCCTCTGTCCAATCATTTGAAAATCCATGTTCAGCCAGTTAAAATTACCACAGTTGAGTTTGAAGCTTTTCTGCTGGATCATTGAAACAGGCTCTGATCACAACAAGCAAGTAAAGATAAAAAACAGAAGCCTAAAAAAGATTGACAATCAGAAAAAATCAGCAAACTAAAGCAGAGTAATTTGTAGGAGCCTCAAATTATACATTTTTTGTGGCTATTCTTAAGTAGAAATAATAGTTAATGAAGACCTAGTGAGGTTCTGACAGTGTCTGGTCTAGTTGACAGAAAACATCACTGAGGTCTATCTAGATAATTCCAGAGCTGTTACTGGGCAAACATACAGGCTAAAGCAATCCAGGAGGAATGGTTTAAAATAAATAGTCCCATATGAAGTTAAGCGGCAGTAACATTAGCGGAGGCGTGGTCAAAACCCCCCAATCCCACCAGAAGTTGGTAATTCACAAAATAACTATACTTCTTGTTAGCACACTTTAACCATTCATGTCAAATTAATCCTCCTTTCAGACAGAGTTTTTATCAGGAAATTGTTTAGTTTTGACCCTTTTTTCTCACCAATTACTAACATCCATAGACAATACTTCATCTAAATGTGAAATTAAAGAAATTCAAAGGTAAATAGGAGAAAAGTCTAATCATTATTTCTTTTGTTTAATTTTTCCAATGAGTTATCTTGAAGTCACAATATTTCTGACAAGGACTGAAATCATGCACCATTCTCCTTTCCTAATGGTTCCTGTAATTCAATCAATTTGTGTGTATACACTTTCATAAATAAAGAATCTACCGTCAGCCACATTATGCACCGGATTTATCCTCCAAATTTCAATCAAAGGTATCCAGGATTCATTTATATAAGCTTAACGTAAAATTCACAGATTTTATTCACGTTCTGATTTTGTAAATATCATTTCAGAAACAAATGAAACAGGATTAAATCTCTACTAACCCTACTATCACCTTTGTTCTACTTACATACAGTCAACATTTCATCAGACTCAGACTTATTTGACCTTTCGCAATCATACTGGCACCTAAACCAGACAGCGATTTTTTAGCCTGGTCCCGCTGCTGCATGACCTATCTACGCACTCACGCCCTTCCCCTTCTCATTTCTCTTTCTCTAAAATCCCATCCGTCTCTTAGTTCCCATGGCAACCACATCCTCCATTTCCATGACACCTGCCTGCTGTCCAAGAGGCACATGGAGAGCTGACACTGAGAGATGAAGTAAAAGAGAGCAGGAAGGGGAGTCAGAGAGGAGAAGAAAGGACTTGATGTTTTTAAAAATCTGTAGAAGAGATCAGTTAAGGATACTGAGACATTTTATACAGCAGTCTGTTGTCTATCCAAGAGAACCGGTGTGCTTCTGCTTAATAATATGAAAACTATGGAGTTAAAGGAACTCACATGGATGATGCTTAAGTAGCATTCAGAAGTGGCAACAGGCAAAACATACTAAGGCTGGGCGATCAATCAATAAAAGCGATTAATATAATTTTTGGTCTATGAAGATTAAATTTTTTGGAAAATCACAAATTTTGTTTTTAATTATTCCCCTCATTGGGCCTCTATATTAAAAAAAATTATTAAAAAATCTAACCAAGTCTATTTTTCTTCAGCAGGTAGGTGAGACACTTTGCCTATGGAATAAGACAATTACCATTTAAAATTAGAAAAACAAAACACTGTCTCTTATTTTAAGTGTATAATATCTAATCATTTTAGTTTAAGGGTAAAAATACTCATTCCATTGGTAGATTAATTTAAAGTTACATAATTTTTTCTATGACACTATTACTCATTTTTATATAATTTTTGCAGTGTAACTCAGATTGACAGCAGTTAATTTCTTGTTCTTAAATATAAAACTTAAGAAAGCAAAAATCAACTAATTGGATTTGGTAGAAAAAACTGGAGATTAAATGTTTAAGCCATAATGCCCAGCCCTAAAACATTCCCTGGTTATGTGTAACCAAACTTCAACCTTTTTTATTTTGTAAAAAAGTATTGTTAGTGTTGATAATAATAAAAAAAAACTGCTGTCTTAATGACTAAATAATAAAAATGTTAAAGTCTGTTAAATGTTAAAATCGGACACCTTTATATTTCTGGCTCACTTGATATGCAGAATATACTTGACAGTTGGAACCAATACCAAGTTTGTAATTTACAATTACAATTTCTTTGTTCTCATATTTCACAGATTAAGAAAAAAAAAAAAGTCTAAAACCTAGTGCTAACTAGTTAGCCTATATGTCATCTGTTTTAGCACAACTTAAAGCAAATAAAAAATAAAAGTAGACGGAAATTATTATTATTTATTTTTTTTTTTAACTCATTTGGCCAGTTTTTTTTTGGATAAAAGGTTGGAAGCAAAAAATACTCTGAATAAAACTGTCTGTGTGAATAAAACACATGTTGAAAAGAGCAGTTAGGGTAAAATATCAGAATGTATGCAAAAATCAACTCAATGACAATCATGTACCAGTACATGGAAGAGATATGTTTGTAATTATATGAAAACAAGTGTACTTTTTTATGTTAGAGTATAAACCTACTTTGGGCGTGGGACAGGAAGCGGTAGAGAGACGGGAGGTGGCCTGGGCGCGAGGGGACTCTGAGGGCGTGGTACTGAGGGAGGCTGCATCCCTGGGTAACACCTGCACACCCCGCGAGATAATGGAGTCTGGGATCTGAGTTTGAAAGAAATATAAACAGAGAGAAAAGGTCAATTTGGCAAAATCTAAACTAAACATACACACAAAGTTCACATAATTCATGAACTGATTTCAAATATTCAAACAGATAGACAAATATAGCCTCCTTCATGCTTGGGGGCAAACGTGGTAAAAATGTATTAACGTCTGTAAATAAAGCTTATACTGATACAAAATAACCTGACTGATAGCAAAATTTTCTTTTTTTTGATACTTTTGCTATTCTATTTATTTTAATAATGATTGGAAAAATACGCAAAGTAATTCTTTTTGTAGGTATAAAATGGGAAAATCTAGGTGTCAAAGAAATTATTAAAGGATCGACACATTTGTTTTGATTGATTGTTCTCTTGTTTTTTTCCACTTCAGAAAGTTGAATGACACCCAATGAATTGGGGACATTATGAATCCCTAATTAAAAGATTCTAGACACATAAATTATTTTATAAAAGTATAAAGAATAATATTACTGATCAGTCACAGAGGCCAATATGTTTTTTTAATCTTCCTTGCTCAACAAATAAACACAAATAAAGTTTTTATTAGAATATATCACTGAAATAAAAGCTCAATTCATTTTTAGGCTTTTTAAAGATCTTGACGAGGGCTTCCAATGAGTGTGCCATCTACAGCCATGAGAAAAAACAATGAATAGTTTTTCAAAGTCTTCAAAGTGTATATAGCATACTTCAATTAGAGGTGGATATTTAAAATCAAGCTATACAATAATATAAAATTCAATAAACAGTTTGCTTCAATAAGTAAAACAATGAAAATCTTCTATAAATTAAAAAAGCAGAGTTTCTTGTGAAGAATAACTTAGGATACCCAATATTTATTCCTACCAAAATTAGCTGATATCACAGACAATTATAAACATTTGCCCATAAGTAGAATATAGTTAAACAGCATTTAAGGAAGATTTGCCCTATTTAAATGCCCCGCTTCGTTTGGTGTGCTCCTGATTGTTTGAGTAAGACTGAACAGCATGGCGAGAAACCAGAGCAGTCTGATCCATTTCTGAAGAAACCTGGGACACTTGCAATGGATTGAAGTCTGAACTTCCTTTGATACCAGTTCACAGACATTCAGAAAAAACAAAACAAACTAACTGTCCAGATCTGGCCATCCAAGTTCGTATTCCTTTGAACTACAGGATGAACAGTCTCCAAATCCCCTAAATATCATAATCCAACCCAGTGCACTGCCTTGAAACAGTTGATACATGATGCCTGTACCATTCTGCACATTAACCTTAATTGGAAATTTGCAGGAAACGAAAACGGACAATCCAGGCATACAAGATAGACAACCTGCTTGGTTTTCCTTAGGGATGCACAATATAATCGGCCCCCTATCGGTATCGGCCTGTATCGGCCTTAAAACTGAATATCGGACATCGGCCACCCCACCGATATTTAACCCAATATTTGATCAGCTTCTGAGTTTCTTTTTTCTTCTTTTCTTTCTTTTTCTTCTTCCTCAAAAACTTATTTTTTACAGACTTAAAAACTTCTATCTTCATATGCTTATATATTGCCATTTAAAAACACCATATCAATCTCTTTTACTAATGAAATATTGCTATATGTCATCGTTATGCTACGAAATCCCCCGAAAATTCACCAAATGTTGCCAGATTTTTATATGTTGATAAATTGACGCGGTATCGATCTATTTTACTAACAAAATCTCACAAGAATTTGCAAAATATCAGGAGAGTTTGTAACAGAATGATGAAATTTCACGAGATTTTGAAAGTAAAATAGATCGATACCGCGTTTTTAAAAATCAATTTGATATCAACATATGAAAATATATTTGAGTATATTATTTTAAGTGTCAGAAATGGATAACAAAACTGCTATTTTCAATGACTACTTATTTTTGTCCAGCTTTAACATCGGTATCGGTTATCAGCTACATGAGTTTTAAAATATCGGCATATCGGATATCGGCCAAAATCCCAATATCGTGCATCCCTAGTTTTCCTTCATCCTGCTCACTTAATCCCGTGGATCCATCCATGGTGAAGAGTCTTAAGGCCTCAAAGCCTGTTGCCGCTATGATAAATCCATTCCAAATAGTTCTATCAGTAAGGAAGGAGGTAGGAAAATGATGTTGGGTATCTCTTATTAATAGTTCCCTTAGCATAAGAAGCTTAAAACATTCTTATCTGGTGTTTAGAACCTATATGGTTTCCCATAAGCCTTTGCAGGACAGGATGTATAGGCACAGCACTAACCTCACGGTGATTACCAATAAAAAACATCTCTTCACATGTGCTCCGTGTGACACATTGCAAATGTAAAAACCTTCACATGTTTTGGGTTTTATAATGGAGAGCTTCAGATATTTGCTACATTTGAGTAACTTGAGTTTTTTGCAGTTCTTTTTTTAAAAGGCAAATTTAGCTGGCATCATCAATGTGCGTTTCCAAAAATAAAGGCTGCCCTAATTTGGCACAGCAGTCCAGGAACTACACCATATGGTACCTGTGGACTGGCTTAAGACTAGGTGATTTTAAACACTATACATTCAAGAAACACCTCAGAAAACTTACAGCTAAAAATGACAAGTGGGGCAAGCATTCCTATGACTGATGTCAGATGCTACAAAATGAAAAAGTCTGAATAAAAGCCATTTTAGTAAAAAATGAAGAGACGAACTATTGGAGTGTTGGGTGTCCCTACATTCTTCCTCAGCTTGAAAAACATTTCATTGAAACCTTTTGTTTAATCAGTAAAACAAGGCAAATGTTGTGGTTAAAATGAAATAAAAATAAATTTCCAAAAAATAAGAGATCATATATAAGACATTATCATGTGAACATTTCTTATTAGAATGTGTATATCTTATTGAGCGTACAATTTGATCCCATGGCTGTAGGCACAATCCTCAAGTCTTTACTTAAACATATAAACCAGCCACAACAATTACACATTTAAGACTTTCTCACAGCTGTTGTCAGTCTGTGATGATGACGATGAAAACCTAATATTTTCAAACTTTAGACATGTTGATGAAATGAGTAAATAGGATGGATGAAATTTTGCGTAGTGGAGTCTTACCAAAATGAATCTGTGTCTGCACAATGAGTTGGGATGTTACCCTGACAAGAGAGCCATTAAGAGGGGTCCAGGCTGCAGACAGGACAGGACAGCATGATGGGAATGGAAACATGCTTTCTTAGAAGGCAGTTGTGTGCAAAAGTCAAAGTCTTTAGCTTCCAGGTTTATCTTTTGTAGGGTTAAATTCCAAATTATTGGGATATACTAATCCAGTCTGGCATGCATCACACTGTCCGATGGGAATACAATTTAGGGTTAGGAAATGGCAGGATGAAATAGATGCATTTGATGGTACAGATAACAAAGTACACACACAAACACATGAAAAGGCAGCACTTGTAACATTAACTGGCAATGACAGATGATTGTGACATACTGGACACTTGGAAGAATGAGTGAAAAGATGTCCAAAGTAGCAGTCTAAAAGGGACGCAATTATACTTGATGACAACAAAATAGACTTAACAACCCTCCCCTCTCATCGCTCTAGGTACCTTGGCAGCGATGGATGCGGCAGTGATGTGGGAGGAGGAGCTGTCCTCGGTGGATGCCACCCCGCTATCCTTCTTCTCCTCATCCTCCTCCTCACACTGTACACCTTTGTCTTCTGTCTGGCGGCGGGGTGAACTGTTGGGAGGCGGTGAAAGGGGTGGCGGTGGTGAAGGCAGGTCCTCCAGCTCATCTACGGCCTCTTTTACCTTCACCACCGCGTCCCGGAGGAGGTCGATGGCGTGCGGCAGCGCTGGGAGGATGAACTGAAAGCATTCCTGGAGGGGAGATTAAAAAGACCATATCTTTTAGCTGTTTCTGAAAAAAAAAAAAAAATCATGACTTATTTAAGGTTAAGAATCTTCTATACGCATGATTTGGTGCAAAACATTTTCTATCAAACTTTGAAATTCAAGTTTCTTATTGTAAAATCTACTACCTGAAAGCAGATTTTAAAGAGAAATGGCATCACCGTGATACTGTTATGATATTAGTGTAATAATTTTGAATATAGTTCATCACATATCTTTTTTACTTTTAGAAATAGTACTTTTAATAAACTGTAAACTGACAAGGAGAGCGTGACTTTAGTGTCTATTTACTTCAATACCCACGTTCTACACATCGCCGTCTACAGGCTAGATATCTATAAAGCACTTCTATTCTCCAGGTCTCTACATCTCTGTTTTCCTCTCTGTGTCAGTGTGCCTGTGGGCTACTCGGCAGCACTAAATGCTCTATTCTCCTTTCTCTCAAGACAAGCGCTAATCTGTGAAATTATTTATTGCCCTGTGTATTTTAAGCATTGAGTGGATACATTATTTATCCTCCACACACTTTACACTAGCCGCCAACAGGCTTTCATAGCAAGCTCTTTACTCCAGAATCAGTTGGTATCTAAGATATATATATCGGTTTAAACGTGATTAATTGTTTTTTTAAATAATCGTCAACTAACGCAGTAATCGATTAATTGTTAACTAGAGTATAGAGACTCCAAAACATGCCTTTAACTGAAAGAGCACCAGTCTTACAGCAGTAATACCAAGATTGTATAAAACATATGTAAAAATTATTTTCTTCTGTCAATATGCTCTATATTTTGGTTTTGGTTTCACCTGGTTTAAGCTTTGGCTATCCAATATTATTCGAAAAATGAATCATTAGATTCATGGATTTGCTAAAAATTTGTTAGTTACAGCCCTATAGGCAGACTTAGACATGTAAGTGCAACAGGCAAAATTACGGAGGAGGATTAGGGCCACTGAAAAAAAAAAAAAAAGTTAACTGATTTTTCAGTTTAATATGGGGGAAAAGTCAGAATTTTGAGAAAAAAAGTCAGAATCCTGAGAAAAAAGTCAGAATTCTGAGAAAAAAAATCAAAATTCTGAGATTAAAGTCATAATTTTGAGAAAAAAGTCAAAATTCTGAGATTTACGGAAGAGGATTAGGGCCACTGAAAAAAAAAAGTTAACTGATTTTTAAATTTTATTTCAGTTTAACATGGGAAAAAAGTCAGAATTCTGACTTTTTTCTCAGAATTCTGACTTTAATCTCAGAATTCTGACTGAATTCCGACAATAAAAAAAGTCAGAATTCTGAGAAAAAAGTCAGAATTCTGAGATTAAAGTCAGAATTCTGAGAAAAAAGTCAGAATTCTGAGATCAAAGTCAGAATTCTGACTTTTTTATTGAAATAAATAAAATAAATAAATAAAAACTGTTTTTTTCCCCCTGTGGCCCTAATCCTCTTCCGTACAAAATGGATCATTCTCAGCAATTGACTGTAATGCCATTAAGTTAACCTTTAAACCCCTTTTCTTTTTGTTAATGTAAAGAAGCCCTACTACTTCCTTCTAAACTGTTAACTGCTGCTCATAATTTGTCTAAAGCTCAGGGTAAAATAAGGCGAGGAGACCCGGTTGATGAGTTTAGAACCTGGAGACCTTTCTTATTCTGGTACCGGTATATCTCATTTTTTAAGGTGCATCAAGAGTGTTTATTTATGTTTTTAATCACTTTTTTTCCCCTAGAAGAGATTAACCATCAGCAACAATAAAGACCCCAGAAGCCATTTATATTGCAAATGGACGAAAATGAGAGAGAAAAGGGAACAGATATTAGTGCTATTCTTAGAGTGAGTCATGAGGGAGGGGAAAAGATGGGGTCAAAGAGATCTGAAGACCAACAGAGAAACTCTTTCACTAATAGGTTAATTTGAAACAACTACCACAGGATAGAAACACTGACAAAACAATAATAAGAAAATGAATGTAGAAAAATATAGTTTAAAAGAAATTTAAATGTAAAGATAAAGTTATGCCCTAAAGTTATAGCCAGTCAGTTCATTTAAAGGTTTAAAACAATTATTGTTAAATATGAAACACTTGGGCAGGTAACAATATCATTATTCCTGCTTATTTCATTGACATGAGATATACTGATGCACACATTGACAAAACTAAGTAGGGACAAATAAGTCTTGGCATATTTTTACACAATCCATGTACCGGTAAGTGTTTTGTTTTTCAACTTATAATTTTTATGGATAAACTATTTTACAATATTCTATGTATAGTGTTTTCAAAACTACTGAATGCAAAGGACATTTCTCCCAAATGACGACAAACGGTCCATGACTTCTGCACCTAAAAATGCACAATGAAAAAGCTGACAACATGAAGCATTGTCTGCCTGCATCTAGCAGGCATCCTTGTTATCCTTATCATACATAAAAGCCTTCAATGAGCTTCCAGGGCCTTTAACTTTACCTGGGATATGATGAGGGAGACATTAATGTGGCAGCAGATGGTGGGAAACGGGGCGTAACTGATGGAACGGGTAATAGAATTGATCGGTTAAAGCTGCTATTTAACTAGACAGAGACAGATTTGTTGGTCACTAAGACAAAGAGGGAGAATGAGAAGAGACTCCTGAGGAGGAACATGGATTAGATAACGATATAGATAGAGGGCAAAACCTATAGGTCCAAGCACTTAGAGCTGGAGAAGACAAAAAAGATTTTATAGATGAATAAAACATTCTGACATTGTGCAGATGACATTAATATCCACAATATAAAATCGTATATATGTAATGTTTATGCAAAAGGGGCATTATATTAGTCAATTTTAATAACAGATAGGTTTAAAGCCTTGCAATAAGCAAGAGAAAATGCCTAAAAATGCAACCATTGTTTAAGAAAGACCTCTTTGGGATGTTTGATGGATATTATTTACTCCTCAGAACAAACCAAGATATAATTTTTTTTTTCCAAACTGTGGTATTAGTACAGTCAGTATTTTATGCAGCCATGTAAAAGTTCATTTATAACCACCAGAAAACCTGGTGTTTAATGACACTTTGAAGCTGCATCAAAATAAAAACAGAGGTTGGTCTGTCTCTCTCTCTATCCTTGACTCATCCCATCATGGTTGACATGAACTCATCTTCTACTTATTGACCTCTTTCTTTCTCTCTTTACAGATTTGATCTGACCTGGCATTCATTTAAGCTCTACACCATAGGTTCCACCCTTCACTGGCTAACACTCTCTCTTTCATAGATATATCTGGTGGCTGGGTTTTTATGGTGTATAACCAGACTGTATGCACCCTTTCATCTCCTAGACTTGAATACTGGCTTTAAGTTTAGCCGTTTGGTTGGGTTTCTCTCCGAGATGAAGCCACTTCAGGAGCTTCTACTAACCTTTAATTTTCTCACAAATAGAAAGTACTCCTTTATCAGTGCTCAAGTGTTCCTTTCTGTCTGCTCAATCCCCCAGTTGGTAGTGGCAGAAGGCCGTTCATCCTGGCTCTGCTGGAGGCTTGTTCCAGGTATGGAGGAGTTTTCATCTGCATTGTTGCTATATGTTTGCTACTGTAAGTATGAGGCAGGGGTGGTTTCAAAATTCTTGCTAAACCTCCCATTTAAATTTTGTAAAATTATTGGTAAAATATGCATTGTCGAAGTACATAAATGCATTCATTAAACTTCATTAAATATGCTCTAAAATGCCCCTAATTTCCTGGGTCTGTTGTGCATTAGTCAACTGTTAATTCGACTCTCTAGCATCTCCCGCCCTGGAGCAGCAGGATGCTGCCATTCAGCCTCCATGAAAAATCCCTGTTGAACTTTGAGCCTTGGTCTATTGAGAATCATAACTTTCCTTAAAATCATACGTTGGTATGTATTTTAAATGGTATCTATTTATCTTTTTTTCTTTGCTTTTTAATCCAATGTAAACTGGCTTTGGAGGGTGGGCATTATAAGCTTCTTGCTTCTGCCAATACACCCTTTTTCAGACTGTTTTAATTTATGTTGTATGGACGTATACATAAACTGTCTTTATTATATACAGTACTTGTATGTCTGAAATAAACAAACTTGAAAGGTAAGCAGCAGGAAAGTAGAGCCCTGATTGGATAACGTGCCAAAATATGTAACTTCCAGTGAGGCTAAACCTCTTAGGGGGTCTGTGCAGCAGGGGCAGGTCATGAAGCCAGCTGCTTGATGCTGATTGGCCAACATACTTAAAGATTCTTGACTGACAGAGCGAGGAGGGTTTCCTCATGAGTCGAGAGGAAAAAGTGATCATTCAGTCAGATAAATCATCTTGTGTTGAACTCTTGCAGTGGTTTCTGGAGCTTATTATTTCAGAGTGCTTCACAACAGCTATTTTCACCAGTTATAGTGATGTGTTTTATGTGTTTCAATATTTTCTAATGCAACACATAACGTTTGGATTTAATCAACAGCATTGATCCTCCCCTGGTTCAGATAGCAGACGCCGCTACTGGTATAAGGGGTTGCTACAATGCAAAGGATCGTCCACTGTCACTGCATGCTTTTTTCTGCACACCATGATACAATCTACTGGGTTTCCATATATTAAAAAAAAGTTTTATCCCGCCTGTATGACTTAACTGAACTTATTCTCTGTAAAGTGCCTTAAGATGGCACTTGCTGTAAATTGATTGCAACATAGGTTAACATATTTGATTTAGATTGTTTTTATTTTATTTACTTCCTTTAACAAAAGACAACTTCATTATTTCCTACCTGGGAGCCTTTCTTGCTTCCTGGTAAGTTAATGATGAGCGTCTTGCCTCGGATCCCGCAGACAGGTCTGAAATTGCACAGCCATTGTCAGATGATATGATACAGACTATATATATAGATATATTTTCCCCTCAAATAAAAAATGTACCAGCAAACTCTCCTTACTTATGTCTCTATATTGGGCAGGCTCTACAGCCACTAAGATCCCACTCAATTCTATAGTCATGTGATTATATATCGGATATTATTCTTATCTTGAAAAGAACCATTTTAAATCAAATTTACAAACGTCACAAATAATCAAAAGAAATCTAGAGGTGCAAATATTATGAATTTCTCTCTAAATTTTAAACAAGCGTGTCGTTGAGTTTCTTATACCTGGAAAGCATGCCTAATGGTGTAACATTGAGGGATCCCATCAGCATTGCAAGAGACATCCCAGGTGCCTCCCGCTCTATCACCTCCTTAGTGGCCTAAATGAGAGAGAGACACACACAAACACATGCACGTGTTTGTTATAGTTTAACAAATCATGAGTCATTTTATAAGCCTAAAAATGATCAAACTGCAGCACTGATGATAAGTCAGACTTCTTTCGGACAAATGAAAAAACCTGATACAACATTATGTTCCTAGTCAGTCAACTCAGCTATGTCGATTGTGTTTTTTTTTTGTAAAGATTTATTCATTTAAAATGCAAAACATTGCTTAAGAAGAACTCAGATTATCACATTTTCTTTGTAAGAATTGTTTGTTTATGTTAAACATTTTAACATGTTAAGGTAACAGTGTGAAATATAAGAACATATATCAGAGTAATACCCTTTTAAATTAAAAAGCTCTTTTGGCCATTTGGCGTTTTGTATCAAATCTTCAATATTTGCTCTAAAATAAAATCGACAGTTTTACCAGTGACTAGTTTGGCTGTGTTAACCTTACTTACACTGAGGTTTATTTAGAAATCAGAAGACATAGATTTTAGGAGAGCAACAGGACCTTTAAGAGAACAACTAGAACTAATGACTGGGGTTTACACTGCAGCATGTAAACCTCTTTAAGAAGAAGGCATGAACTAAATAAAAGACCTGCACGAATCTAATCATAAAAATGTAAAAAAATGTCCCAAGTTATTGTTTATTTACAGTACTTAGCATGGCGGTTATTCTAAGATTGTTTAAATGACAGACAGCAGAGGAGTTGAGGCGTTTTCTACATACTGTATGTGGCTTAAGTTAAGTAATACTTCAAATGCAGCAACAAGAATGCATAGGAAATATTTAAAAAGAGAGAAATTCCTTTTAGCATTTTCATTTTTAACCCCAGAGTTAAAAGGAACATAAGAGGGATTAATGAGGAGCAGACAGTGTCAGAGAAAGAGAAAAGGAGAGACCAAAAGAACATTTAGAATACATTTGTTTTATCATAAACTCCAGTTAACTATTTATTCATAACATGGTTTATTTTTGTTCCATCACTTAGAAAGACAATGTAAGATTTTTTATTACTTGTTTGAAAAAAGTCTGAAAACCTAGTTGGACTAAGACAAACTAAAATGAGGTTATGAAGGCCTACAGTGATTATATTTAACTGAAGAGAAATATATTTTCTGTACATGGCAATGCTACACAATCTACACATTTCAACAACATGTTGACAATGACAAAGGAAATCTTGCATAGCCAACAGTGTTAATAAAAAAATAACAATGAATGGTGAAATGTGACCCTGCTGGCTTGTATTTAATCACATTCAAGCCATCAAATAAAGCAATTAAAAAACAAATCCGCAAATCAAAATAAGCAAGCTTCTTTCCACAACAGTTCAAGATTCCAAAGCAGAGGAGTTCAGCATCCCAAGGTTTTATTGCATGGGTTTTATGAGGAGAGCGGATATTTCCCCAGTGATTTAAGAGACTTAATCAATATCAACTCCTAATGTAGATAAATATACAGTAGATGTAGAAAAGATAGTTAAGGCTTATTTTCCGGCATCCACACTGCTAAGATATGGGCTGTTTAATTTAGTAATGGATTCAATAAAACACATGATATGCTGAATTTAACAAAAAAATAATAATTTGGACAAATCATGTTTCAGGATTCATTGGAGACTTAAATATTTGTGAGATATGTCGCTTATATGGCAGCTAAGGCTGCACTCTTGTGTTTTCATGCTATATTTTTATATATTTATCAATTAATAAAACTATTTTAATAAACATGTCTTTCACTGAGGTGAACGTTAAATTGCATCCATAATGTGTCATACAAAAATTATATATTACTGCACAGCTTTCTAATAATACATACCTGTTCACATTTATACAAGCCTGATTAAAAAAAAAAAAAAAAAGAAATCCTTGGAGTGCTGACTCAACTGACATGGCATTATGAGCAGCATGGTCACCAAAGGATGGTATCGGAGACTGAGACTAGATGTGTAACGATGTATTTAAAAAGCTACAGATGAGTTGTCTGATTGAACTAAATCTAGGTTTTGGAAAACCACATCTATTCTATTCTAGAATAGAATAGAATAAAGAATCCCTTCATTAGCCCAAAATGGGGAAATTGTGGTGGTACAGCAGCAAAAGGTTATAGTACTAGTGGTCGCACAATGTGCCTCTTAGAAAAGTAAAATAAAACAATTAGAGTATTGCACTGTACAGTGTTTTTACAATATAAAAAAGTTAATGGATAAACAGTAATGGATATGTAAAAAATAGCTGCAAAACCAGATATATATATTCAAAAAAAAAATGACAGCAGCATGTTATTAAACTGAAGTGTGCCTGATAAGGCTTGTGTCACCTCTGCTGTCACTAGATGTTTTTTTAGATTTAAGTATTGCAGAAAAGTCTTAAGTTTGGAGGAAGTATGCTCCTTTAAAAAAATTTACTAAATGTTAATTAATAAAAAATAGAGTTTACTTTACTGTATTTTAATTTATAATTTCATTTTATTCATAATTTGCTATATGTAAATCATCTTAATGAAGAGTACAAGTCTGTTCCATAAAGCAGGAAGAGACACAATTTGTTATGAAGTAATGCCATATAAACAAACTGAACTGAATAGAATAAAAAAAAAAAATCCTAACATCTGATAATTATACTAGAAGCACATATGACTCCAAATTTAGACAGAAAAAAACCTAAAAGGCTTTGCAGGCATGTTGCTAACAGCTAAGCTAAAGTAAATTGGCAGAAATATTCCGAGGCACAAAAATCACAGAATACTCAGCATGGATTAGTTTTACTTTTTAAAATAACTGAGAATTAACATTATACAATCATTACTATAACTTAGAATTAACATTATACAATCATTACTATAACTTAGAATTAACATTATACAATCATTACTATAAACTAAATATTCAGCCATAACAGGAGTGATAAAGGGAATACATGTTTAAGTACCACTGAAATATTGCACATAATTTATTAAACACAATTTTTATATTGACAAGGGAATCAGAGTAAACACAAAAACAGTTTTCAAGGATTTAATAAGGACAATAAGCATCAGAAGTGGGCTTTGCCCTATGTAGAGTTCTTTTTCTTAAAGATCTAAACAGTTTGTTCACATTTTTTAACTTGGCTTTTGCTGTCGAACAGAAGCTCCTAAAGAAAGAGGACCTAAAACTGATTTAAGAAGCTACGGGAGGGCATTGAACAGGTCATTCATGTCAGCCATCAATAGAGGGCCAGTAGACCAGTAGCCAATAGAGGGCGCCCACTCACCCAATATACTTGATTAATACATCAAAAAATAAATAAATAATCATAAAATTTAAATATTTAAAAATACATTAAAATATTTTTTAGATCTGCAGGATAAATATTTAATCTTTGATAAAGACAATAATAACGAGTTTAATAAAGATTGAAGCTATTTTGATTGTTGGATTGGTGACGTCATCATTGCCCATAGACTCTCGTTAAAAGTTGTCCATGTACAGAAGCTCCTCTGCAATTCAAAAGATAAGACCATTCTGGGGAGCAGCTTTCCTGCACCCAGAGCTGAAAGCAACTTAGTTTGTTATAAGGTATGGCTGATTGACAGGTTTATATAATTATTTAGTAACATGGCTTGACTAACTGCATGAAGTTCCAATGTGGTAACCTTGGAAACCATTAAGATAAACCCAATTTTCTCCACAGATGCGTAAAAAACAGGCCAGATAAGTTCGAATCACTTTATTTCTTTAATAAATATAATCCTCTTTAAAAAAATTCAGATTTTGTTTTAACTCACTATAATTCACTTAATTTCACATAGTGTTCTATTTTTGAGACTGCTTTTGTAATTCTATAACTTTTATAACATATTAATTGTATTTTATATATTTGTTTTGCAACTGTACACCGCTGCACCTTTAAGCCAAATCTCCCTGGAAAAACAGATTATATCTCAAAGGAGTTTTCAGTAAATTAGATGTATGATCAATTACAATGAAAAAGAAAAAATGTTTGAGTAACTTTACAATCCACAATGTCAATATCACACAATCATCTTAAATTAATTTTATCATAATAACCTTACATAAATATTTTATAGCAACAGTAGATTAGAGTACCTGAGTAGCTGGTCTTTAGTAATATTACATTTATATTACACACAATACATTTGTGAAGGATTTCAGATCATCTATGAAAAATATTAAGATACAACTTCAATGGGAACCTTTATTTAATACCACAGAAATCATGGGAAAGTGTAAAAAGCACTTAAACAAAATAAAATACATATAAATTCAATGTTGTCTTTGAACTCTATCATTTACCTAACAGAAAACATAGCTGATAAACGAAGCAACTCTACAGTTTTATTTCCCCTCTGACTATGGGACTAATTAGTGGTAATTATTTTTGTAACTCATATGTGATCAGCAAAAAGCAAGCTGCTAATGAAGCAAATACAGCAGCATGAGACAGGTGCCTCTAAAGACACTTTCATTTCAAAATAAAAAAAACAAAACAAAAATTGCCTACTGTCTGCAGTTGAAATCCTCAGACCTGTAGCTCTTAGCCAAACTGTCTAAAAACAGGAAAGCTCCTTGAAAATGTACTGGTAGTTCCTGCACTTGTTTATGTTTTGTAACATGAAAAACAAAAACACCTGGAATAACTTTGCTCACTTTCCTTTGGCTAGCTAAAGAGAACCATGCCCACAGCATGATACTACCTCCACTATGAGGCACTATGATGGTGCACCCATGGTGATGTGCAATGTTAAGTTTCCAGGCTAATTGTGCTTTGTATTAGGCCCGTAAGGTCTAATGTGATCAGATTGGTGCATTGAATCATATTTTTTAAGAAATGTTGATCTAAGTTTTAAATGACTTAAAAAAAAAAAAAAAAAAAAATCCAAAACCTGTTTGGTATTTTATGTAATTAATACTGGGTTTATCTTCTTTTCCTTTGTGCTTCTATTTATAATGTTTTTCCTAAATGTTGCTTCCACCCATT